TGTTCCCCACATTTCAGAAGCGCCTTTACCTCCATTTTATGAGCTCTGGGGGAAGAGTTCTGGGTATGAAGTAGTTTTCTTGTATTTTCCATCTGTAGGCAGTTAAATTTTCTGCTTTCTCTATTCTGATTGTCAGTTTCCATTCTTCCATCTGCTTTTCATTTCCAGAATTTGTTGACAGCTATCTCTCTGCTGTTGTCTTTTCTTGTATTCTTTCTCATTTGTTTCAAGTGTTCCACCCCCACCCCCACCCCCGCCTTTTTTTTCCATGGCATTTTAATGGTACCTCAGATGGGAGCAGACATGTTATGTATGTTCAGTCAATCATTTTTAATCATAATTCATATAAAGTGTTATCTGTATAAATATGTTCAGTCTTAATAGTTTACCCAATATTTTCTCCTCAAGTGTCTTGTTAAAATAGCAGCTTATTTCAGCTATGTTTTCAGGCCATTAGCTTTAAAATATTTGTTGTTGTTAGGTGCTACCGAGTTTTCAACTCACAGCGAACCCATGTGACAGAGTAGCACTAGGCTGTAATCTTTAGGGAAGCAGATCACCACATCTTTTCTCCTCCGGAGCCACTGCCTGGATTCAAACTGCCAACCTTTTGGTTAGCAGCCGAGCATTTAATTGTTGTGCCACCAGGTCTCCTTTAAAATATTTAGTTATAAAGAATTTTTCTTGCACTTAACCAGTGTTCCCTTCTGTAGGAAATTTTCCTCCTTTGTCTCCTTAAAACTACTTAATATGATTTTTCCAGTAAGTGTATCATTTCAAAGGAAAAATGGTAGACTCACGATATACTGATGTCTTTTATTTAATCTTAAGTATAATAATTTTGTTTCAGTTGTGCATCTGATTTCATTACATAGTTTTGACATTGAACTGATGAGAGTACATGAATGCCCTTATGTCCATCTCTCACAGTGAGATCCTTTTGCTCTGTAAACAGAAAATATATTTGTAATGAATGTGTGTGCTTTACATTAGCACAATCTGAACACCTCCTTTTCTTTGAAGCTATGAAAGGTTAAAGAGCATTATTGTTCTCATTTGTGGTTATCAGATTTTTGCATTTCTAGAGCTTTCCTTAGTGGTTCTCAAAGTGCAGGTGCCTGGACGATCAGCATCAGCGTTACCTGGGAAATTGCCAGAACTGCAAATTCCTCAGCTCCACCCCAGACCTACTCAGTCAGAAACTCTGGGGATGGGCTTAACAATCTGGTTTAACAAGCCTCTCAGGTGATTCTGATACATACTAAAAGTAGAGAACCACTCCTTTTGAATAGGATTTTGTGTTTTGTTTCCTTTTCCCTTTAATGTCCCCAAAGTGATTAATTACATTAATAATATATTTTCTACCTCCTTAAACTTCAAGGGTTACTATAAGGCCCATGGATAGGCTTAGAGGCAGGGAGAGGTGTTAGTGATCTTAATGAGAGTTTCTGTTCTGTATATGTATGTTTTCTACAAAAAGGAGAAGAGTAAATAAAAGTACTGTTATAATTTTAAGTAATAACTGGGAGGTATGTGTATGAGAGAGAGACGTGATTAATTTTGCTGCACTTTGGCCACATCTAATTTATAAAATTATTATAGCAAATATTTATTGATTGCCAGCTGTGCCATTGTCAATAACCAGCAAATTAATAAATCAATTCATCTGAAATTATTCTGAATGAAATTTTATTGAATCAAGGATTGTTAGATTCTGTATCACCACACTGGATGTTTTCACATCTTAGAAAACCTGAATAATTCTTCTAAGTGTCTAGATACTGAGGTCCCATTTTATTGAAAGATGGGACAAACACTGAGTAAACAAAAGGTAATTTTCAGCAGGTAATTTAATCCTCAACTGATATGCTCTGCTCAAAATTTTGTTCATCTATGTGTGGTGGATTTAGGTCAGTGATTATGTCTTTGGATGAAATAATAAGGGTATAAGAATTATTTCCATTTGGTTGGGATTTGGGAGCTTTGTTGTTTTTGTTTTACCTACTCAGTTTGTTACATAAGTGTGTTTTCCTTTTATTTAGCAACTGTGAAGAGTAATACTATGTGCTGTATGAATTAAATATGGTTAAGACTGTATCTATCTTTATGTATCTATTTTTATATAAAATTATGAAATATGCTGTGCTGGCAGTATGAATAAGACCACAGAGGCAGTAACCCTACTGTATGAAGAGGTTGGGAAAGATTTTTTAGAGGAAGTGATACTGAAGCAACCTGGGCCTTGAAAGATAAATAGGAATTCACCAAAGGTATAGAACCTTGGAAAGGGACGATATAGTTCACAAAACAAAAAGAAACTTGATAAACTTTTAAAATGCTGCTTTCTGTCCTGCAGGTGATGAAGGGAGTATGCCAGCAGATATAGCCACATTATTAAAAACTTCAATGGGCCTGTAAAATTGTGAGTTCCCAATCAATGAGGAAGTATCAACTTGGTGCACTCAAGGACATTTACATTGTGATGACCATGGGGTTTATGAACATTTATAACTTTTTATAATTTCCATATTGCATTTCTCATAGTATGGACAACTTTTTTGCCACTAACTGAATTCTTCAGATGCTCACACATGAAATTTCAAAAAAAGCCACAAGTATGTAGTCCTTAAGATGTTGAATAATCATTTTACAAAGCAGTTTTCTGAATGGGGATTAGTTGGTGATTGTTTGTAACAAATATGCTAACGCTTTAGAAATGTCAGTATTTTTGTAATTATTTCTACCTCCAAATATATATATATTGTCTTTCACTGGATAATGTGTGTAGATTTTTACATGTGCCTTATTTGACAATGCTTATGTCTTTTTTTTTTGCTTGTTTCATTTGAAGTTTTTTTTTTTATTATGTTAGTTTAAATAATGCGGCTGTATAATTATATAGCTTTAGTTTTATTGCTATTTGAAGCAGATGTTCACCACTGTCAACAAGAACTCAACCTGAATTTAAAGGTGGCAATCCATATACTAACATCCCCCAGGTCCTCTCAAGCACTTCTGTTAAAACAAATCTGTTTTCCTAGGCACTAAGTTGTTTTCCAGTGAGTAGTAACTAAAGAAGACCTTATCTTGCTCCATGGATTAATTCCTTCTGTTCATTTTCCAGCTGCACTTATTGTGCTTATTAGTCTGCCTATTCTATTCTTGTGCATGTTTTCATTGATTTCCCTCTCCTGGTTTTTGCTTCTCTTAAAGCTGTTGCCCAGTCACTTCTGCTCCAGTTCTCCCTAAATAATAGTTCATTCCTGCCACATCTCATGCATCAGCAAGATGTTGGTGACATTTTTCTAGCTTGGCAGAACAGATTAACTAAAGCAATTTCATTTCAAAGCAGACTGAATGTGACTTCATATTAAGGCAGCATTAGGTATTGCATGGAAATAGGTCATTAACTTTAAACCCTTATCAAAATATAATTTACCAGTTTCCAGAATTTCCAGTACAGGACCTCCTGAAGAGAGAGCCATTGTTCAATTCCAATTCAGTGTGGGTGACAAAGTGAAATTCAGAGGTAAAGTTGTCTATTTGATATTTAACTCCTTATTAAATCTTTTCTTTACATTTTTCCCTGTCAGTCTGTATTGCTGTTATTATACATCAGTTTCTTTGTATAACTTGTGAGTTTTATGTGTTTTGTTTTTATTATGTAAATACCAGTATAAATAAACTTATTTATAAATCAAAGATTTGTTAATTATTGGAGATCATACCTTTCAAGGCAGCCTTCCTTGCTAAGATGCTAGGTAATGTAACCCTCTGAATTTAGAAGGCAAAAGAAGTTCTTAAAGTGATTCTTAAGCTATTTAGATTCTGAAAGCTCATACAACTCAATAGACTTACTCAGTCTTGAAGGTATATTGAACATACTGAATATGTTGTAGTGCACTAGGGCTAGAAGGACTCTGCAAATGTTACTACTACCTCCTCCTGTATCACAGCCTCCGAATCACTTCGTCAAATTGTTGGGAATATTACCTTATAAAATTTCATAATGGGTTTCTCATGGCTTTTCTGTTTTAATGTATCTTCATTGATAGGCTAATTCTTCTGTTATTGTTAAATCCATATTTTTATCTCTAATGAAATGTAGTTGGGTTCTCCCTGTAATACTCTGTCTTGGGCTTAATAAAAAGTTTTTGATCATAAGTTGTTTTTTTTTTTTTTTTTTTCCCCATAACCTTTTTAGTAGTTTCCACCCCTCCCTTTACCTTTAAAAAGTATAATATTGAGCACAAATGAGATCATATTATGTGCTCAGTACTGTGTGTTTCTCACTGAACTGGAATTTATTACTTAGGATGTATTTTCATTAGTCTGTTCATTGAGCTGGTGTCAGTAAAATCACCAGTACAAAGAGGAAATAAAGCATAGTTCTCCAAGTAATATCTTGACCAAGTGAAGTAACATTTTTATGCAAATAACACAGGAGTAGAAGACATGGCATTCTGTGTTTTTTCATAACTATTTCTGACTGCATAGACTTGCAGCTTTATGCCAGCAGATATTTATACTCAAACATCAACTAATCTTATTTCTAGCAGTTGGTGTTACTGTATCATGGAGAGAGAGGGGTGTCAGGAGACTTGGTTTCTGTTCGTGTGATCTTAAGCAAGATATTTAACCAGTCCATAAAGTTAAGGAATTGGATGTTGTAACTCTTGCCAAAATGTATGCTTTTTTTTTTCCTGATTGTAAATATGATATACAATTAAATACCTGCTCTAGTTCTCATTCTTTTTCTCTTTTATTACTCTCTCTCTCTGTGTAAGCAAGGAGACATTAAATTTGTATGCAAGATAGGATAATGGAACATGTTTTTCCTTCAGTGCAAAAAGATGATTTAAAGGTTATGTTGGTGCTGTAAGAGTCCTGATGGCACAGTGGCCCAGCACTTGGCTGCTAACCAAAAGGTTGTTGGTTTGAATCCATCAGCCACTCCATGGGAGAAAGATCTGGCAGTCTGCTTCCATAGAGATTTACAGTCTTGGAAACCCTATGGGGCAGTTCTACTCTGTCCCATAGAGTCACTATGAGTTGGAATCGACAGAAGTGGGTTTAGTTTTTTTGGTTTGGGTTGATGCTGTGATTGAAATGAAGTATTTCCTTATGAAACCTGTTGCATTTTACACTTTGATTATGATTTACGTAAATGAGTGGGCCTGATTATTTCATTTTGAATTTTCATAATTTTGAATAAGCATTATATTTATCACTTTTAGTAATTTTTATTTTCATTAAAGCTTGTCAGTATGTAATTATGTAGAGGGAAATGACCATGTATGATAGGGAGGAAAAGTTGCTACCTTCATTATCTAGTGTATTATTTGTGAAAGTTTTTTTTCTTTAGAAAGGCTCTGATGTGATAGAGTGCTTTATGATGAGATTCACTTATAACTTGTATTTATTAACCACTTATGGCAAGAAAATTTAATCTAAACAAACAAGGTACTTAGAAAACACACTTTGTTTTTATGTGTAATCCTTAGTGATTAATAAACTATTTAACATTTTTTCCCATTTCATATAACACTTTTGGAAGGAAAGAAGCACCTGAGCAAGATCATGTCTAGCTGGGCTTTTTTTCCCTTTTCTTTCTTCCTCCACCACATTCCATCTTGGCTTTTCAACTCTATTTTGCTTTCTCTGCACTGCTTTTCAAGTGGAGGGCCATCTATTTCATTAGTCCGTTTCCAAAATGACATGACATACTGAGATTAGACAATCCGGTATTAATAATAACATAAATTAACCCAAAATTTGATGTTCCAATCATATAATTATATGTTTAAAATATTGGGAGGAAGAAGGCCTGAATGTTTAGTTATATGGGAGATTTCTATTTAAATTACGTATTTATCCAGCCAGTTCTCACTTTTCGTGGTAATAGGGGACCATAAAAATGACTACACTCTGAAATTATACAAGGAGATCTTAACAATCATGGGAAAATTTATGATTGTTCCATGACCTTTAAAAAAATTTTGTCAAAGCATTATAAACTTTCTTACTGCTTGTTATAAATGTCTAAGTAAATGAAAAACTAGCAAAGCTAATACTTACATAATCAAAAACCCGCTGCCGTCTGATTCCAACTTACAGCAACCCTATAGGACAGAGTAGAACTGCCCCATAGGGTTTCCAAGGCTGAAATCTTTATGTAAGCAGACTGCCACATCTTTCTCGCTTGGAGCAGCTGGTGGATTCGAACTCCTGACCTTTCAGTTAGCAGCTGAACACTTTAACCACTGTGCCACCAGGGCTCCTTTCAAAACTTACATAGTACATTGTAATTTAAAGTATTGTAAATATTGATAATTACAGTGTTGGTTTTTTGTTTCACTTTTAAATCTTAAAAATAGTTTGAACAGTACTTCTTGTATAACTTATTTGTATGCTTTGGTGAATTGTCATACTCTTTCTAAGTTTGGATTAGCTCTCAGCATTTATCCTTCGTTCTCTCACTGTTGTGAAATATCTCTGTTCCTTAATGTGAAGTTTTCTTAAGTGTCACTTCCTCTGGAATATCTTCATTTTTTGTTCACAACCACTTTCCTCATTTATGTTGGTGAGTTCACCTTCACACAATTCCTCTGGCTGTATTTCTAGAAACTTGAGTGGTTGCAGTGTCAGCATTCCCACAGTCAGCTGTTTCTTTTCTAACTCAGTTTATGTTCAACTTGAATTTCACATCTGCATGATCACTTTTCATTTCTCTGTTGCATTTTCAACTTTGCTGGCAGTTCCTCTTTCGATTATCCATTTTTTGTAAAATATTAAATGGGTTTAATACTGGGAAACAATGAGGCAACACAGCTGCATGCTTTACTGTCTGTGCATGAGTAACAGTTGGTCAGTTACCAGTCACTGACAGACTTTGACAAGTGCCATGATTAGTCTCTGGTCATGATGTGCGTCTGATAGTCACATAGTAATTTGTGGACTGAAGAGCTGGCAGCAGAGTTTGAACGTTATGCAATTACAGTCAATATACTGTGGTAACTGAAATCTGAACCATGCTGTTGGGGAACTGGTGCTAACCAGTGGTAACTGAAGTTCATGCATGTTGGAACCAGTGCAAAGCGAGGCCTGCCTGTTTTGTAAACTATTTTTCCTTATTTGTAAATGAGTAAAGCTATTCCGGAAAAAGACACTGGAAACTAAATGTTCTTTGTTTTTTTTAAAAGCAGATTATGGCAAAAGCGAAAGTCTTGACATAACTTGTTGGGGGAGTATGTGAACTATGTGGCAGGCTAGTGTAGCTGTCTTAGCTGATGGGTGTGATGCTGTAAAGAACAAAGAAGTTTGAAGGCAGTGTACGTCATCTAGAGTTTGGTTTGGGGCCTCCGTTGTATCCAGTCAGTGATGGCAGGAATTGCTTGGACTTTGTTTTTTAAAGTCACTAGCCTGGGATGGATGTCCAGCAAGTCAGGTTTTAAAACCAAAAGCGTGGTACTGCAAATATCCCAGTAGAAATCGGCCCAAGTTACCTAGTTTAAAGGAAACAAAAATTATTTTCATTTTAATATAAAGGGCATAACTATCAGCATTCCAAAGTAAGCTTAATTTCTTAACATAAAAGATAGCTTATTTTTAATTCAAAACAGTATTTTATTATAAAACTAGAATGTGTGTATTACAGAAAACTGGGAAAATACATATAACAACGTACTCCTATCACCCAGAGAGATTACTACTTGTTAATATCTCAGTGTGTAAGGTATTTTTCTGTGTGTGTAATATTAACTATACTCTTTTGTAACCTCCTTCAGTTTACACCTCTGTGGCAGTACATTTCCACCTTATCTAATACCCAATCCTTATTTTACCATCTATTCCAAAAACTTCCTTGACAGGACAAAGCAGGATCCAGTCCAGGACCATGCATTTCCTCTGGTTATGTCCTTTAACTCTCTTCAGTCCCATTCTAGTCCTCTAGAATGTCTTATCTTCAGGATTTATGTGGTTGCTTCATCTTGTTTACCTTGCTCCTTTATACAGGAACAGAATGGAAGTTCCGGCTGAAAGGTTGATAGTTTCAAGTTAAATATTTTAGGCTGAACTACATGATACCACATCACATCAGGAGACATAATATACGCTTGTCTGACCATTTTTAGTGGGATACGAGATTGATCACTGGAATAGAGTGATGATAGTGTGGTCCTGTCCTCCTTGTACAGTTGTTGGCTTCGCATGTGTTTTTCTTTTGTGACTAGCAAACTAATTTGTATGATATTTGATTCTGGATAAGTATCAGTTAAAGAGTGAAATTTAGAAGTGGACTATTAGTGTTTTTTTGGTATGGAGTTTAATAAAGCTTATTGCTATTGTTTTATGAACTTGCTTAGTAAACATCTGTCAGCCAAGAGAGGCTATTGGTTACAGGATTCAGAGTTCAGTCGCAAACATTTATTGAGTGTCTGCTGTGTGCCATGCACAGATCTAGATGCTAGGCATTCATTGGGAAGTAAGATGTGATGCAGGCCCCTTCTCATGCAGCTTTTATTTTAGAAGGGGGAAGACAATCGGGAAGACAAATCTGTAAGTTGATGGGTGCTATGATGAAAAAGAGGAGTGATGAGGTGGACCATTTCTCCAAGGAGCCCTGGTTTCTTTTAGTATTTAAGAGACCAGAATCTGGGTGCTAGGGATGCTCAGGACTACTATCTGAGATTGGCCATTGTTTCAAGAGATACAGAAAATGCTGTTTTCTTTATTTTGATATAAAATACATCATGAATCTATACTCTTACCTGTAATTTAAATTCAGGAATAGAATTTTTACTTAACCTCACTGACTTTACATCTCTGTTTCCTTTCTCCCACACTGAAAATCTTGGTTCTCAATGACATCAATATAATTTCTTATTGCTTTATCCAACAATATAGATAAAAAATATTTTTTAAAAAGAACAGTACCAACGATACCACCACCAATATGATCACTAAAAATGGTGTACGATTGTTATTTTTTGTCCTGAGAGAATGTCTGTCTTGAGATATGTAATCAAATTGCTTGAAATAGTTGTTCATTTTGTATTTCTCTATGCACCAGCTTGACACAGTTAGGTTCACTTATTTCACTTGGCTTTTGATTTTTAGTGACAGCTTAAAATTTTTATTTTTTTTTTAATAATTACGTACAATATTTTATGGCTCCACTGTCAAATCTACTAAAGATATAGTCAAGTTTAGCTTGTATCTCTGCTCTCTAACCTATGAATACCTCCCAATGGGTAACATTTTTTTCAGTAAATTTTTGTTTTTGGTTTATCCTTTTATTAAAAAACATTTGCTTTTATTTTTTAAAATGTAAAACATACTCACAGAGTTACCAACAAACCACTCTTTTCCCCCTAAATATGTGTCCAAATCTTGCAGAAGAATAGGTGCATCATGTGTGAGCAGCTTGTTAAATATCTTATCCTAGAAGAGAGAGAAAAAGATCACTTTAAGAATAATGGGAGGTTCTCATGGAATCCAGACTTTCTGGAGCCATTGAAGCTAGATGAACCCCTGAAACTATTGCCCTGAGATAATCTTTAAACCTTAAACCAAAAATATCCCCTGAAGTCATCTTAAAACCAAACAATAGCATAACTAATGAATATCAGCCTTTAGTAGTATGCTCGTTTCAGACCTGTGATCATTGAGGCTGTGTGTCAACTTGACTGAGCCATGATTCTCACTGGTTTGGCAGTTGTGATGTAGTTTGGCAGTCATAAGATGATGTGATCACTTCCATGATGAGATTTGATACAATGCGATCACCTCTGTGATGGGATCTGCTTCGAGTAGCCAATCAGTTGAAAGACAGGTGCCTTGGGGGTGTGGCCTGCATCAAATACATAAGTGGACTTTCTGGCAAGACTCGTGGGCTTTTGTTCACTCTGGATCCTGCAGCTGGCACCTGTTTGTCTGACCTCCAGTTCTTGGGACTTGAGCTAACAAGCTTACCTGCTGTCTTGCTTGCTGATCTGGGGATTCATCAATCTTCGCAGCCTGTGAGCAAGAGCCCTGCTGTCTAACCTGCCAATCTTGGGTTCGCCAACCCCTGTGGCTTTGTGAATCAGGAGAAGCCTCTATCCTGACCCATGAACTTGGAACATACCAGCTTCTACAACCATGTGAGCCATTTCCTTGATACAAATCTCTGTATATTTAAATGCTTTACTGGTTTTGCTTCTCTAGAGAACTCAGCCTAAGACAAGACCTATCTATATGGGATCAAACTGACAACAGCAACTGAAAAGTAGGAAATTTAGGGGGCAGTGAGTTCATGCTAATGGAGGAGGAACAGATTGGAAAAGGAGGTGAGAATGGTTGCGCATCTTGAAGAATGCAATCAACGTCACTGAATTGTACATGTAGAAATTGTTGAACTGTGTATGTACTGTGTATATTCTCAAAAATAAAAGAATAATGGGGGGGTATTGAATAATATGATTTGAGGAGGAAGTAGATTTTCCACATAAATTTAGAAAGGAAGAGAAGTATCTACATGTTTTTCTCAAATTTATAACATGGAGATTCAGGTCTGATTTTCTATAGATCTTAGTCATCCCTTTATTACTCATGGATTTAACTAATAAATACTTTTTTTTCCTAAACCAGTTCTTACAGTTTATTTGTGCATAATGACTAAACATTTTACCCATAAAATTTCATGTTTGTGTTTTTCATTTGTAACCTGGGGACTTAAATCTATTCTTCCATATTTTCATATAGGCATATATTTACATGTATTTTTAAAATTATTTTTATGAGACAAAGGTGTTTAGTAACCTGATGTGTAATTTAAAGGGTATATCATACATGCATACATATATCACACATATACATCCATGCCAATAAATGTGTATTCACAATATAATGGATGTTAATAGGGACATACCATAATTTATTTACCAGTCTCCTCTTGTATGTTGTTTTGTTCATTTTTTTTAATTTTTTTTTAATTGTACTTTAGATGAAGGTTTACAGAACAAATAGTTTCTCATTAAACAGTACACATATTGTTTTATGACATTGGTTAACATCCCCATGACATGTCAACACTCTCCCTTCTCGACCTTGGAGGACTTTTTTGGTGAAAATACATATAGCCAAAGTTACATCATTTCAAAAGTTTCTACGTGTACAATTCAGTGACATCGATTACATTCTTCCAGTTGTGCTGCTATTCTCACTACCCTTTTCCAAATTATTCCATCACCCTTATCTTCAACTCACTGCCCCCTAGGCTTCCCATCAAACCTTTTGAGTTGCTGTTGTCAGTTTGATCTCACATAGATAATTCTTTTTTTTCTTTTGTACCTTAGATGAAGGTTTGCAGAACAAATAGTTTCTCCTTGAACAGTTAGTACACATATTGCCCTATGACAATGGTTAACAACCCCATGACATGTCAACACTGTCCCTTCTCAACATTGGGTTCCCTATAGCCAGCTATCCTGTCCCTTCCGGCCTTCTTGTCCTTGGGCTGCTGTGCCTCATTAGGCCTGTTTTGTTTTATGAAGCTGTCCAATCCCTGGCTGAACGGTGAACTTTGGGAGTAACATTTTTTTCAATAAACTTTTGTTTTTGGTTTATCCATTTATTAAAAAACATTTGCTTTTATTTTTTAAAATGTAAAACATACTCACTGAGCTAAACGGGTGACTGGGGGCCATACTCTCGGGGTTTTTCCAGTCATGGCAGTAAATCTGGTCTTTTTTTATTATTATTATTTTTTAATTGCACTTCAGGTGAAGGCTTACAGAACAAACGGTTTCTCATGAAACAGTAGTACACATACTGTTTTATGACATTGGTTAACAACCCCACAACATGTCAACCCTCTTAACTTCTCAACCCTCTTTTTGGTGAAAATACACATAGCCAAAAATACACCATTTCAAAAATTTCTACATGCACAGTTAAGTGACATTGACTACGCTCTTCCAATTGTGCTGCTATTCTCACTTAAGATGAAGGCTTACAGAACAAAATAGTTTCTCA